AATTTTTTGTTGTGATACTGTGAACTATAAAACAAAGAATTTAAGTTCAAATACCTATACTTTTGCAACAGATGTTCAGGCATTGCTACCATTATGCAAGATCTCTCAGTGTAGATTATACATGAATTCACTTCACTAAACATAAGGGGTTGGTTAGCGATAATAGGAGCAGTAAGTAACAAAATATTCTTAATTGTAAACCCCCAACAAAATTTCTGAGGCAGTCCTCGAGTATAAGCCCACCCCTAATTTTTCTGATTTTCCATGTTCAGGCACCTGGGCTTATGATTGGGGAAGTAGGGTATATATTATATTGCCAGGCAAAAAGCAGTGCGTATTGCCTTACCAACACAGTGTACTATGATAGCATCCTGGCCATCTGTACCAACAGGATGTGTAACATCACCACTGACGTAATTTATAGCTTTTCTTAGTTGCTTCTCCTCATCCAATGTTGCTAAGATCTCTTCTTCATCTTCCTCTTCATCTTCTGTTTCCATAGAGATATTAGAAGTCTCATAGCTATTAGCTTTCCAGATCTCATCTCTGTAACAAAGAATAAAATCAAATTAAAGTGTAAATAAATCAGTACAACACAATCTAATTAAAATTTGATGTAGGTAGAGATTATGGCCGCCAAAAATTACGCCTCTATCTACAACTGACCAACTACCAATATGAAAAATGTTTTCAAGTCTCACAGAAACCAATCTTGTCACAGACTGCTTTCTAGAGTGACATAACCTGTTTTAGTAAGAGATGAAGAGATGCTCCAAATGTGATTTGCACAAGTTGTTAGTCAGATATAGTTTTATGCATATACACCAGCAGCCAATATTCACCACAACCACTGCCTTTAGACTAATATAATTTGATTGAATATAAAATAACTTCTTTACCAACCATCAAGTAGAGCTGAATACCTCTTTTCATTCATAATCCAAACATTATTTCCTGATTTAAACAAGATGACATAAAACTTTTACCTTCTCTTTCTTCGTTCTTGCGCTCTTCTAATTTCTTCTTCTTCTAAAAGTCTTGCTCTTTTTGCAGCCGCTTCTTCTCTCTGTTAAAATGTATGAAAGGGTAAGCCATCAATCCCTGGGAATACACTAAAAAATTATGGGACACTTGGAACTGTTATACCATTTTACTGCAATTGTCAACTTTGACCTTTAACGCCACCATTGCTGTTGTCAACTTTGGCCCTTAACCATGTCACTGCTATTTACAACTTTGACCCTTATGGTATAGATGCAGGTTCATGAGTGAATTTTCTTTTTTTTGCTTTTTATTATCCAAACAGTCTTGGCTATAGACTGTTAAAATTTTACAGCATTGTGAATAGTAGAACATACTCAAAAGACGATTTTAAAATATAGATAACAGGTGCAAACATTATCTCTTTTGAATGCTTAGCAAGATTTAGCAAGGCTGTACATAAATAATCAAAAATAAACATGGTGCAAAAAGTAATGACGGGATCTCCATATTATGCACTATATTTAACTTTTTACAAAACGATAATAGCTTTAAATTTGGAACTGTTACAGCCATTTTAATTATGAGCATTAGCAAACTTCTTACTGAGTGAATGGTTATGCAAATTAGCCATTATCTCCACTTGTGTTTTTCAGTTTACCATGGAAGTTCAAATCTAAGTAGCTCGCACAATTCTTGTTTATTTTGAGTAAAACTTTCACACAAGGTTTATCAGTTGTTTATTAACAAAGGGGCATCCAGGCGTATATATAGTATGTTTTGTTTTCATATTACAAAGTTGTCAAGCAGGATGTGTGCCGTATAGTCAATCCCTGTCAGTATTTCACACTTCGAATGTCATTGTCCGAGAATGCAAAGCTTTAAAAATAAGCCCAGACGTCCTTTTGTTCGTAGAGACGTTGTCAAAATAGTGTGAAAATGTCAAGACAAACTGACAAAAACTGTGAGAGCTAATTAATTTTCAATCTCTCTGACCAACCAGAAAACACGAACGGAGATAATGGTCATTTTATGAAAGTGACGTTAATCGTCCACAAAAATGGCTATTGCATCACAACGACATGCCAAAATCCATCATACACCGACGCTTCCTGATGTTCAATCGTCAGATAAAAAAATAAAATAAAAATATTACAATACTAGGGAAACGGACGTAAAATCGTCCGCGGAGTCAAAACCTTGCGTGAAAACTGTCATGGCGTCGTGTTATCTTTTCCACTTAGGGAGGGACACAATAAAGCAGATGAGATATTCATACAGTTATACAAACATAGCGACCGCCATTGGGTGGGTTGAGTCTAAATTTACCTTTCCTCATACCTTTAACTCATACTCTGTATGACGTAGTTTTTCACGATCTCCGGTGAAATGGATCGTGCGAAGTTAGACGGCAAGGTTGAAATGGGCCGTAATAACGAACCCTGACCTCTGGAAATATCTCATTCATAGAGTGCCATAGTACCAGAGGTCGCCGAGCATGGCCATACAACGTACTTTGCCACATCGCTACAGATGCATGCTAGCTGACAAGGGGGTTTCCGATTAAGGTAACCAAGAGTGTGTGGTTTTTCCGCGGTGTTTAAAAACAGCATCTCGTTGCCGATGTTTCTGTAATTTTCAGGTATTTTTGTATTTTTAAGTAACCGAGCATTTCACATTTGTGTATTTTGCCACTGAAAAGTTAGTTATCGATGACAGCATAGCAATGGTCTGAATGGTGTTTATCCATCATTACATCGTAATGCTATCAGCACAGTGATCGTTGCAGCGAAACGACAAATGTAAAATTAGTCAGTTTTATAATGCCTTCGGAGAAAAAATTGCGTGGAAAAAAAAAAATATTTAACAGTACTCCACTGGAAGCTGCCAGACTAGAAGTTGTCAACAAGTTGCGAGATAAAGGTGACAAAGTTTACTTATCATTTACAACTGTATGTTTTTTGTATTCCGCTTGCATGCTGGAAGCGTCTACGTCTTGTCTTTTTTTTTGTAGTTTGCAAGACTAGTTGTTAGCGCTTGAGGTAAGTTAAACAGGGTCGCGGACAGGAAGTTACACATCGCCGCACCGTAACTGAGGCCAGCAACTCATTTGCATATAACATCAACAGTGACTTGTCAATCAAAGAGTAACGTAAACAAACTTTCAGGACTTTTAATCACATACGCGTGTTTCGATTCCCTATATTTTAAAATCCATTTTTGGACATGTTCCAGCATTTCACAAAATTTGTCCCAAAAGTAAGCAAATTAAAGTTGTGTTTGTCCAATTCAAAAACTAACATTGATTTTTTAGGAAAATAACAGAAAATTGATTTGTATTAAAATGTTTGCAAGAAATCAATTTAACCAACAAGAATGAGTTTTTTTCTGCATGGAATTCGCAATGAGATTGATGTAAAAGTAAAATTTGATTAACTCAAACTTATTCATCAATACCTTTTTCTTCCTCTCTTCTTTCTCCTCATCTGTCAGTACTTTTCTCTTTCTGCTTGGCAACTGATGTGGTAGCATAGTTGCCGTGGCACTTCTGTGCTTCCTCATTAAGCGTTTCTCTGACATTGATTCTTGCTGTAAGGACAACTCACCTGAATAGTGGAGAATATGATCAAGTTAAAACAATATGTCATTGAATGCTTGTTTAACAAGATATGTCCAGTACATGAATCTGTATTGTGACAATGCAGTACCATAGGCATTGTGTGTGTGCTGTCACTTCAGGGGTTCGAACTCCAAACATGAACATTTTTGAGTTGCTCAAATAGTTTTTGAAGAAAAATGACTGAAAACAATCATTTACAGTGGAGTATATCTCAAGCATTTGTAATATCCAATTCATACCTCCCCCCACCCCTCTGAGAATTACCAGTACACACATTTATAACACTACAAAGCAAACTTCTACTGAACGTGTTCGTGCACAGTAGAAAATAGCAGACAGATGGCAGAAATAACTGAATATTAAATAATTTTATATTCAACTGCTTTGAGATGAGTGAACATTTATTTAACTTTTTGGAATATTTATTTAAATTTTTGGAATAAAACTACTCCCAAAACCATTACAGATACTTAATTAAAACAAACCACTGTGAATTTTAGCTTTTATATTTTACATGAAAATCCCAATTTAATGTCAAGGTCAAAAATATCACTTTTAGACACGTCTGTGAACACCAAATGTGCTGCTATGACTCAGGTAATAGTCACAGATTGGAAAGAAAATTAAATCCATTGTCACCTGCTATTAAATCGTCAAACGCCTTTTGATCAGCCATGCTGGGTTCCACCGAGTAGTCCTTGCCTTCAAACACATACATGTTAGCTAAAATAAATAACCACATTAACAAATACATTAGATTCATGATCCAAATGATTTATAAATTACTAATCTAAATAGAAAATAATGAAAGGCTTAAAATAAATCCAACCTTGTTCCTCTAAGGTATCAAGTTCATCATCTTCTTTCATCGCCATGGTATCTGCCTCCTCTTTCAACTGCCATTCACCATTGATGCTTGCTCCAAGGATCTTTTTGAAGTCTTTCTCATTCATATTTTTTTCTTCAGAGTCAAATAATTTATCAAGACCAAACTTCAGCATATCAGTCAACTAATAATTAATAAAACTGTAATTATGACGATCACTCTAAACTGACTGCATAATGTTTCCTAAAAAAGTCACTATAATTTATATTACGTAAGTTTTTGATAAGGACTCATATGATCAAATTGATTTTCAAGAATAGAGTGATGAGGAATCTTACTGACCAGAAAAATTATTTTTATTGTTGGGCCTTATCATATCAAAATTTTGACGAATTATATTTTATAATTATCTATATGCAAAATAAATCAAAACATGCCTTTTTTAGCGTCTATAGACATTCAATATATATGTAAATTACCTGATTACTATGCACACTATAATCTACTTCTGTAGTATTTCTAGTCTTTCATATAAATATGTAATATGCAAATTAATAAAAACATACCTATTCTACAATGTTGCATATTTATGCAAAATATTATACATAAAAATATCAAGATTTAAATATGCAAAGTTAATGAAACCTACCTTCCTTAATGTTGTACTCAATACATTTCATATTTATGCAAATTAGCTGATTAATATGCACACTACAACCTACCTTCTGTGGTGTTTCTGCTGGTCCAGCTGCCCCCAGTGAAAACTGACCACCTTCAATAACAGTATTTGTGAGACTCAGCTTCTCATCAGCTCTCTTTAAAATTATTTCCTCCACTGTGTCCCGTCCCACCAATCGAATAATTTTCACAGGTCTGAAAAATGAAATAAATCCAATTAAATTCAGACAGTTTTGATGTATTGCATCAAAGATTAAATTTTCTCACAAACCACTAGAGCTGTATTCTTTATTTAACTACTTTACAAAACAACATGATTGATGATGAACATGATCTGATGTCAGCTCACTACTGGCCAACTGAAGTGTGTATTTATATTCTAAATTAACAGAGACTCTTTGGTCACAGTACACTGAATGTAGGCAGAGCACAAAATGGCCACCAGTTCGCCACTTTAAATCGAATCACACACAAAAAAATGACGTGCATCAGTAACCAGCCTCGACTGATGTCAAAGTTTGAATGAAATTGGTCAAGGCATGTCTGAGAAACCGTTGATGACATGTCCAAATGTTAATTTTTTTGGACAAAAATGGTCACCAGTTGGTCGATGTGCACATATCTGTCATTATGACTTGTCTTTGTACCAGCTTTGAAAAAAATATGTTTAGGCGTCTCTGAGAAAAGACAATGGACAGACTACGTCCAACGAGGGAAAAAAATGTGGCATGTGTTCAAATTTCATGTAAACAACTGCAACACTTAAATCAAAATAGAAGTTAATATTATTTTCTACTTACTTGGTTTGTCCAATTCTGTGTGCTCTAGCAGCGGCTTGTAAATCATTCTGTGGATTGAAATCACTATCTACAAATATGACAGTATCAGCACTGGCAAGATTTAGTCCCTGTCCACCTATAAAATAATGACATTAGGTTATTTTACTTGTTTTAAAAAATCATTCAACATTTTTAGACAAAAATATTTTGTAGTATTCACAAAATACCCTATTACATCTTAACCTTTTCAGCACCAGATTTTCTCACCAAAATTGTTCTTATATTCATCAATATTTTTTTATATGAACCCTAATTTTGAATTAATTTTCATTCTTTTTTAATTTGGCTATTTGTGTCCCAATCTTCTGAAGGAAAGTGCAGACTATAAACAGAACTATTTTGTGAATTTATGATGAAAAGAGAGAACTGGGGGTGAAAAGGCTAAAGTAAACCTGTTTCAGGATTTACTTGTCTGTAAATACGACCTTTAGCAGATCTCTAAAAACTGGCCACTCTGAGTATGTAAACATTCAATGTTGTGTGAGCACACCCTTATTCATGTGCAGTTTTGCTGACACTGTCACAAAATACATAACCCCTGTACACCCAAACAACTTGTATATTGAAACAAAATGACTGACCTGCTTTTGTACTCAGTAAAAATATAAATGTATCGTCTTGTTCATTGAAATTCCGCACTGCTAAAAATCTTTCCTCCCCTCTGACTGAGCCATCAAGTCGTTCATAACTGTAGCCTGGAAGAAAATGAATTATAAAAAAATATATATTAATAAATTTGTCAAACTAGTCAAGACACACTTGCAATTGCTTTGTGACAAAATTGAAGCCTTCCAACAATTTTATACCTGTATTTTATCATGACAACAAGATGTAGGTTATAATGCCACAGTAAATATAAACTTGACAGGAAATGTGAGGAAGAAACAATCTTACAGTCCCTCAATAACATCCTAGCACCCCTACCCCAAACAGTGGTGCAGGCAACTGTAAATTTTTTTCTATTTGGTTCAATCCACTTTTACACATAGGCAGGGGGTGTTAAGCATCTACTTACCTCTGTAACCTAGATAATCTTGTATAATATCAAGCATTCTTGTCATTTGTGAAAACAACAATACTTTGTGTGCGCGTGAATTCAGAAATGATAAAAGCTGATCCAGTAAATGTAGTTTTGCACTGGCTTCTATTAGATGCTCACCAAGCTCAAATGGTTCCGGTTCAACACCTGAAAAAATAAGTCAACAGTATTATGGTTCCATAAATACTTCACTTAAAAACATGTACTGTCAGTGGTCAGCCTCACAGCAGGGAGCTTGAGGCTGTCGTCTGGCACAGAAATATTTAAAAGAAATAAAAAACAGTAACCAAGGAGATAAGAGGTAAATTACATAAATTCACAGGACAGTATGCACACTAGTTCTATCCAATGCTAAATATTGGATTTAGTAAGATAAGTATGAATGAATGTATTGAAATGATATTTTTATATGCTTAAGTTAATGAATTTTACATACAGTAAAAGTAATTGATAAATTAGAGAAACTTTAGATTAAATCATTAGTGTAATATTGTGACAGTGTGACTGCAGTAAAATATAAACAAACAACACTAAGTATACATGCATTTACTGAAAGTCACTTACATAACAGTATGCTGATGAGCTGTTACTAACAACCAGTGAATGAAAATTTCATTTTTATTTCTATTTTCATGTACTCTTTATTTTCAAAGAAAAATCATACTTAAACAGAGATTCACAATGCTAGTAAAAGCTCCTGCTTTTTCTGATTCTCTGGTTGTACTTACCGGTACTGATGTATTGTGGGATACCAAGTGGGGGAGGGGATAAACTATTGTTCACTTACCATCAAAGAGGTATGGGTGATTGACACACTTCCTGAGTTGTATAAGAATGTTATTTAGTCGGGTTTTATTGGAACCATCAGGATTCTGGAATGCATCTGTAGAAAACAAAATATTAAGACTACTACCTTGCAACTATATGCATAATTAAAGAGACTCTAAATATGTATTCATTTATTTGTATTTTATTGATTGATTGATTGATTGAATGAATGAATGAATGAATGAATGAATGAATGAATGATTGATTGAATGAATGATTGATTGATTGATTGAATGAATGATTGAATGATTGAATGAATGAATGAATGAATGAATGAATGAATGAATGAATGAAATGAGTATGCATTACCATAGTTGTCCGAGTATAAACCCCTGCTTGAGTATAAGCTTTGTATGTTATTATATAAATAATCAACAATTGTGAAACACACCACGACCAGACTGCGCAACTGTGATCATTTGCTACAAAGCGATGCAGCTGTGTTAGTTTTTATTTGAAACTTCGTTTAGAATATTCTTTTGTTACCTAAAACGTACAGACCAATATTCACATGAAATGCAGGGTCGAATGCTGTTCCACTTAGTAAAGCACCCAAGAGTGATTAGTGGCCCCGGGGCGTAACGGCTGACCCTCAAGTTAATTTGGACGATGCTAGTCGATGAAGACACTCTGGTATCGTACACGTGGCGATTTGTTTATGAATAAATTACCGCTTCGGAGAATTAAGTTTTAAATTTTATCTGTTTATAAGCCTCCCCCTAATTTTTCGTCAATTTGCCGTTTTCCCAAAGAGATTTATACTCGAACAACTACAATAATTTAATCACAAAGTTTTAATTCCGAAGTGTACTTGATCATCATTGTAAACAGGTTCAGTATATGATAAAAAGATGACTCAAATTCCATAAAATGATGATGTATTCATAGGTTGTTCATTTCTCACCTATATCCTTAGTAAGAATAGCTTTATAATATGTCTTCTGAATATCTGAAATACCGTGATACAGAATAACTTCTGACTTCTTTGGCAAATCCAGAACTACCTCTGATTTAACTCTACGTAGTAAAAGTGGCTGTAATATGGAGTGCAACTCTTTTGCCTCTGAAATGATACACACATTACTTGAGTGTGAACCATTGAGTATGAGTATGATTGGTTCTCAACAGTCACATGGTTAGAGAGCAAGCATGTGGTTGGTTGGTTGGTTGGTTAGTCATAAGACTCATAATGTAATAATTAATTCTGATTGGTTTACTCATAACACATGATCAATATGCAGAAATCTGATTGGTTCATACCATTACTGTCAGCTTTGACATCACTATATGACTCTACAAATTCTTCACAATAACTGCTTTTAAAAATGGATGGTGCAACAAACGACAACAAAGCAAACAACTCGGTAAGATTGTTCTGAACTGGAGTTCCTGTCAGGAGTACGCAGTGGCTGATATCAAACTGTGGAGACAAGACGAATGAAATGATGATTTTACATTATTACATTTGTCACTATGTTATATTGTACTTTGAACATTTGTAGTTAGAAGATAACTTATCAACTCTTCCAATTTGCAACTCCTTACCTCCAATAATGTTTTATGGAGAAGTGAATTCTTGTTCTTTAATCTGTGTGCTTCGTCTACGACCAGTGAAGTCCATTTGAACTTACCAAGGAAAGCTGAGTCCTTGAGACATAACTACAAATATAAGAATTGTACATGGTCAGATTGTTACAGTTTAACACTTCAACTAGACCTAGATCAAATCCAAAAGTTGTCACAGGTTATTTTGGATGGCATGGCAACCTTGTATATTAAATATCAATAATGTTTAAAAAAAAAACTATGAGTGGAATTTTAGTGAAAACCAACTGAGCATTTTTTTCTAATATTACCAATACTAAAGTTAGAAAATTAATTTCAATCAGTGATGACACTGTTTACTTGCATGTCTATTTCATTTTTACAATTTTTGGACACTTGGTTCTCAATTGAGCACATGCATCTTCTCAGCACAATTTTTTATTCTTATTTTAAATGTGGATAAATACTTTATCTTACTATCGACAGAATCCCTTAATTTGTTTAAATTTCACATTTTATATGACTGATGTACTAACATTAGAATGTTTTCAAAGGACGTGATTATGCACATTGGTTTTCTGGTTTGATTGATAAAGATGAAGGGAATGGTTTTGTTGTGTCGATAGTATAATATTTGCATAAAATACTAAGTTTAATTTGCATATAGCTGAGTCAACATACCTACCCATAATGCATTTGTACTCAAATTCCCATCTTATATACTATGCATTTACCTCATTTTCAAACCTCCCAGCATACCCACAATGCTTTGCATTTACCCCTCACCTCATAAGTTGAAAGAAATACATCATAATTTTTTGTGGACGACTCTTCCCTGAGTTCTTCTCGTTTATCTTTGTCTCCCATGTACAGCATTACTTTCAGTTTGGGAGAAAATCTGAAAATACACAATACTTAGTAATCAATAGCTTGTATTTTTTTTCCTGCCATAATTTGCCCATTTTTGAGTATTTTTAAACTATAAAATATTTTACATTGTAAATCGTTATCCTGCCAGCCCAGCCCTATGTACTTTTATATGACTTGACCAGATAAGGAATATTAATTAATAATTAGTAATTCTAAGGCTTACCTTTCTAGTTCATTTTTCCAATTTGGAATAACAGATAATGGACAGAGGATGAGATAAGGATCTTTAAGATCTCCAGACCCATATAAGTATGTCAAGAATGAAATAGTCTACAAATGAGAAATGATTATGAATTGGTGATATTCTGATATTTTCATATATTATTGATATTTAGCGAATGCATTGCAGAGAAAAAATTGTGTACTAACCTGGCAAGTTTTTCCTAGCCCCATTTCATCACCAAGAATACATCCATGGTTTCTATGCCAACGCTGTATGAGCCAATTGACACCTTCAAGCTGGTATGGACGGAGAGTGATTCCTGCATTTGACAAATTATGATAATGACTTAAAGTGATGACACAAGTTAAAACATAATGGTTGGTGAAATTAACACACAGTACTGTGTTATCATTTAACATGATGTGATTAAACACATGTAGGAATTATTATCTTCTTTTGGCAAAATATCTAAAAAACACTTTATTTGCATGTGAACATTTTGTTTCACTATTTGTTCTTGTGCTATGGCTTTGTAATTTACTATTCTAAACTCTTTGATGGCTTCAGTAGTGTAATAATAAAGTTACAATGCAATATACAGAATACAAGTGGCATTGCAGCCACCGCGTCGGTCAGGACAGTGAACAGTGAGAGTAGCATATACGCTTTATATAATACAGACACCTACCACTTTCATTTACACTTATTGATGAATACATAGGTTGAAACTATAGAGAATACATGCAATACAACTTACCTGTTAATCCACGTTCATTGAGTTTGTCAGCGGTCACACATTTCTTACTGAAGTCGAAATTCTCGTTGATTTCGTTGAGTTTTCTCCTGATTCGATCCATGATGTACTACCCTCGCGTGTTTAAATGTGAAATGCCCGGTTTCCCCGTTGATTCAACAATATATCTACTAACAGTACAAAATGATTCATTTCCAATGCTGATTCAGCAAAAGCACTGACAAAAATATGCCGCTTTCATTTCTATACAAAGGCCGCCATTTCGATAAAGTGCGCCACCAACAATAAAATAGGTGAAAACAAAATGTAATCCGTACCTAACTGTGGGGGCGCAATGATCCGGATCCAATACAGTGCTTATTTGGCAGCACAATTTACTGACCGG